CTTTATTTTCTGTTCCGAATAGAAAAAAGAGAAAAGCACTTGTGCGTGAAAGGAGAAAACACACTCGCATGTAAAAATCTTAGCGGAAAAAGCATCCTCCCTACCGTCTGAAGAAAGTCGGCGACCCTACGTTGGTGGTCCTGGGGATTACTTCCCGCTAGGATTCAGTGCTAGAGAGTGTTATATGGTCCTGTCTCAGCCAGGTAAACGGTGAACCTTTTACCGGGTGGCTGAGTGGTCTACCTCCTTAACATCACCCCGACCGCCAAACGTTGTGGTCGGCCGTGTCGCCGTGCTTAGAGCGTCGCATCCTATGAGGCCTACTGCGCTATTCTCTCCAAAGGTCTGAGAAAAAAAAGGCGAAACGGCCAGAATCAATCAGAACAATGACACCTTGCGAGGCCTATTCCCTCATGCATATTCCGTTGCGGTTCTCCGCTCCACCTGAAACTCGGAAGGCGTAGGCGTCTCCTGGAGGAGTTCAGGATGACGCGGGGGGCGATCATGTTACAGAACATGTATAGGAGGTACCTCGCCGTTCGGGAACGAAGGAGAAGGGCGAGAATAGTCAAGCTTGCCCTCGGGGCGGGCCTCCGCGCCCTAGGAAGAGCCATGAACGAGCTCGAGGCGAAAGCTGCTACTTTGCAGGCTTGCGAGCAGGTGCGGGGCTACACGCGCAAGGCTGAAACTTGTACATCGGGGTCGCCAAAACTTACGCTTGCCCTTGATCTAATCACCACAAACGAGCAAGGCCTAGGCTTCGGCTGGGCTCCAACTCGTGGATTGAGTAGCTTGACGGGTAACACGATATTGCTTGCGTGCTGAGAGAAACTTGACAGTTGATTTCGGTGGCGTTGGGGCGGTGTGCCCTCAGGATCGCGTTCCTTGTGAGCTTTAGGGTAAGACTGAGGTACCTTACGAGGAAGACCTGGTGAAAATCCTCCCTTAACAGCGTGCAGAAGATTGAGGGTTTGACTCTCTGCCGAATCAAACAACAGTACTGAGTTCGCGAGTTCCCTGCATAGGTACGACTGTATATTTCTGGTGACGTACTGTAGACATCTCGACGGCACATCAAATCGAGCGAGTTGACCGTGCTACCGTCGTCATGTGTCTCGGAACACGCCGTGTTCGTTGGCACTTGTAGAACCTGAGAGCAAGCACTGCTGGGGGAAAGGCGGTGGAAAAAAATACGAAACCAGTGTTTCTTCCTCCCATGTATCCCCGGCTGGTGCGTCAATCGTATACCGCACGTTGCAGACTGATGCCCAGACCAGTTGAGAGGATAAACACGAGCAAACTCACACACAAGTGTACGAGGTTGGTTACCAGAGAGGTTGTACAGTGCAGGTACGGTCGATTTTTGGATGTTCCAGCTCTTGGTGTGCTTGCGCTTGTCAATCCCTGAAAGGCGGACCAGCATGACGTCAATGTAAAGATGCTCAAGAAACGAAACCGAAAACTAGGGGTGTATACGTTTGTAGTTCGCTCCCCTGTTGGAGTTTTCCCCCCTCCGAGTAACATGATGGAGATTATATGACCGCTGCCGGTATTGGCCGGAAATCGACCGGGGGAAGGGTTTCTATGTGAAAACAACTCCTCAAAGGGAAAACCGGTGGTCTGGAGTAGATGGCTCATGGGCGGCAGTGGGCGCTGAGCGGTCCATGAATGGCCCATGAGCGTTCCATGGGTTGCTGGCAGTTTCATCTCCTATCACCTTTCCTGTGTGAGAATAAGTCTGCTCTCTTATCTCCGTTTGGCTTGGCAGTCGAGGAAAAAACGAGGCACCAAAACTAGCGGAGTCCTCGACGGCTCGCCACCGTCGCCCGCCCGGCTAGCCACGGAGCGCACGGCGGAAGTCGTGGCGGATGGAGTCGGTGAGAAGCTGGAAGAGGACAGTGTGCCGTCTCTCGTTGCTCGGCTCAAGGCCTTGGAACACGTGCTGGAGCAGCAGGAGGTGCGTGTGGAAATATGGTGGCATTGTTTGCTCTGCGAAACACGTCAAGGGTTGGTCTGTCTGTTCGGAATGTTGATAGATGGAATTCGGTCCAAGGAGTACGCACATGGACCAACGAATGCAGGGACGATGCTGAAGGTCAAATTTAAGACTGGGGACATTGGCCTTGGAGAACATAGACGAAGGTTTACGAAGGAAGACCAGACGGCGACAAGTTCAAGTGCGAACGCGCCTCCGAGTGCGGAGACCGGGTCATGTGATAGAAGAGTGCCTGTTTTACGAAGAATAGAGAGAAAGACACATGACTGGGCTGGGAAAAAAGCATGAAGGTATCGAAAGATGCTTGAGGCACGTAATAGCCTGGAGAAAACCGTAGCTACTCATGGTTGAAGGTGGGCTGAAAAGGTGGGACGTGATATCGATAGGATCGACAAGATAGGGAAAATGCTTTTGAGCCATCTTTGGCAAAGTAGGAAGGGACGATTGGCCATCGGTGATTGCTCCTGTGGGAACACTGCTCCATCCTCTTGCCGCGTGGTCAGTGTAGTGTAACAGCTAAGTCATACAAACATGAGTACGCCCTCCGCTATCTGATTCATGCCCACCACAGGCGAGCCGCGACCCCATCAGAGTTGATTACAAATCTCCACCAAGAGCGATTCCGGCATAATTTGGTGCATTTTTTGCGTCCCCCCTCCCCCGTCCTACCTGGCAGGAACGCCATCGAAGGGAATTGTCGGCCGATATTGAAGGGGAACACGGGAGTGGTGGTTGGCGCAATTCGTCGGCAGGTGCCAACAGCTCGGCCGGTGGGACTCGGGGGGTACCGAAACGGAGACGCTAGCTGGCCGGGCAGACGGTACCGGCACCGTTTGACCTGGGACCGAAGGAGGGTTGGTTTTTCTAAAGCTTTCTTAATCTTTCATAAGTGATTTGTAGACTTTGGCACGATCGTGTGGTGTCCTTCGAGTGAATTTACATCTTTGTGGCTTGGATAACGCTCTTATTCGGGCCTACCGCAGAGGCAAATTGTTGGCGTACAGGGTATATAATGTTATGTGCGACTGAGACACAACTGCAATGAATGGAGCCATGAAGTGTTCCCTGTGAGACTTTTTCAGTGAACGAAGATGACGTGCGACACAGCAGCGAGAGCGTCTTGTGATGTCGAAGTCGCCTCCTGCTTGGCCGTCCATTCGTTCGTTGGGTTCTATCAACAGTACGAAATGGGACGGTGCGCGTTGGATTGGTCGTCACCAGATATTGTAGGTCATGCAATGAAATTCCCTCCACTATAGATGCCCTCTACTCTGCGATGAGCGGAGAGTCCGAGGTTGTGGTGGCTATGTCCTGCCACCGGAGGTTGGCTATCTTCTTTGGTACAAAGTGGCGAGGAATGCCAAGCGTGACCGAGCGAAAAGTGTCAAGCTAGGGTGGTGCGGAGAGTGGGCGAGCCTTCGTGGACCCATTTTCCCATTCTCCTAAAGATTCATCTTCATCAACTCTTCGCAGCCGTGGGGAATCACAAGAGTTGTGGACCCTCGGAGAACGGCTATCTATTATCACATATTCCCTCATATCCTACTCTTAATGTACGTGTATCTGTGCTCCCTGAATCTCCATATCCTGACCTCCACATAGCCCCCCTTTTTCTTCGCCGAAAGCTCAGCTTGTTGAAGTTGGGTTTTGGCGCACATGCATGTTTGCATGTTTCTTGTAGAGCAGGAATGGACGTATCACTGGATCCAGATACAGCTTTTCGAAAATTAAATCTCTCCCTCAACATCCGAAGACAGCTGACAGTGCCGTGTGGAATACACACGTGTTGGACGCAACACCGGACGGATTTGACCTCTCCAAAGCTCGTACAAGCTACCAGGTATTCATGTCAATCAATGATGTGTGAAAGCTTATTCTTGTAATGTATCAAGAATTTGTACATTGTCCGGGTTCTGGTTGGCGTAACCATACCGCTGGGTGTAAGCAATTGTGTTGCTTATTGAGTACGATAGGCATACGGTGTTCGACAATCTAAAGACTGTTTCCGTCACTTATGATTAGTGTCATCGAGTTGCGACCCTCAATTCCACTAGAGACGGGTTAACTTGACATTTCCTCGCCAGCATGTGACCCAACCAAATGCTGGATAGCAACCTTATTGTTTGGATGCTATTCCTTTCACCGTTTAGACACTCTGGAAATGCATCTTTTGTTTGCCTGCGGACTTCGTTTACTTTTCCGCTGAGTACTTTTCTTGTTCACGCATTTTGCTGGCTTGGTACACGACGTGTTTGGCCTTGCCTTGTGCTTTGCGCATGTGTTTGTACTCGGATTCCTACCTTCGTCGCGTTTTCGCTTCGCTTTTTCCTGCGGCACTTAGGACGACTTCTTGGCAGGCTCGATGTCCAGATCATGTTTTGATCGGTATGCGGAAATCATTTCGTGGCATTGCGGCACTTCGTCGGCACGATACATCAGATCTGATTCTGGACCGTATCCTTTCAGTCTTAGACGATATCGATAGTTGTGCGGACCTTTTCGGCCTTGACCGCTTCGATGCCCTACCACTTTCAGTATGACGTATCTTTCAATTTTCGGTTGATATTCGTCGTTTGCTGTAAGGGCAGGTGAGGGAATTTGTTTCCCAAGGACATTTTCATCCAGTTTTTCAAACTGTGGTGCTGGTGGTTTTTCCCTTTCATGGTACTGTTTTAGATGGGCAAGGTGCACGGATGATTCTCGTGTTTCATTGACTCGCTTCACCCTATACACAACCGGCGATAGTTGCGAGCAGATAGATGGTATACGGGCCTCGCCAAGGTAAGAACAGCTTCGGATTTGGTCCATCTAAATCCTGGTGTGGTCGTCATACGAGTACTTGTTGACCAGGTTTCAAGACGGGGTACTGTGGTAACTTTTCGTTTTTCGCAGCTTGCTTCTCTGCACGTGCCGTGAGGTTTCTTCGCGCTAGTAGTTCGAAAGCAACTTGTATATTTTCTCGTGTGTTTCGAGCAAAACTCTCGGTATCTGCAGTTGGTCCTACATGTGGGATTCCGAGAATTGCATCCACCGGTAACCGTGCTTGGCGACCAAACATCAAGAAGTACCGTGTCTCATGCATGGTTATATTTGATGACGCATTAGTCTATACGCTAGTTGAACCATTGGTAGGAGATCCGCCCAGTTGTCACGATTCATGGAACTAGGCATTGCGAGCATGGAATGCATCGTTGAATACACACGCTCAGAGACCGAATTACCTTGCGGACGATACGGCGTCGTGCGTGTTTTCTTGTAGCACAAGATTGTTTGCAACTGATAGATTATCTTGTTTTCGAATTCAGTGCCTTGATCAGAGTGCAGCATTTCAGGCGGGCCAAAGATATTGATAATCCGATCAATGACTAGACTACACGTGCTACCGTTTCAGCAATTTTGTTTGCAACTGGTGTGAGAATTGCATAACGCGTCAAGTGATCCATCATGGAAAGCACGTATTTGCATCTCACTCCGACTGCTGACATGAGAGTGATTTGTACTCGACTGCGTCGACTGACACTCTTTCAAACGGCCGCTGTACAGGTACGTGACCCGTCGGCAGTTTCGGACGGCGGTGAGGTGTCTTTCTCCGTTGACATGCCTGGCATTCTAGGCACCAAGTCCGAATGTCACGGTTCATTGACTGCCACCAATATTTTTGTCGTATTTTTTCGTACGTTGGACGAAGTGTGAGGTGTCCACCTGAAAGACCGTGATCATGGTATGCGTGCATCACTTAACCGGTTAGGTCATGCGGGACTACAAGTTGATCACTAAAAGTGCTTCGTTTTCGTAGGTGTCCTGGCAGATACGATTTAAACAGTAAACCGTCTTGAATGGAATAGTGCGACATTGATGTTGCCGTTTCGTTGTCTGGTAGCGGTACTTTGGCGTCTAAAATGTATTGGACGTATTCGCCGTATTCTTCGGCTTGTTTCTTGCCCAATTTCTCATGATCGACAGATTCAAATACTTGCGTGGCGCTGACAAAATTTGAATTGACTATGAAGAATTCCCTATCACTAAGGACTGGTTGCACATTATCCAATTTGTCAGTCGAGACTTGGTATGGTCTGTTTGACATGTGTAGTTGCAGCTTTAGATCGTCCGGTACATTTCGGCAAATCGGTGCAAGGTTCGGCGCAGTTCGTTCTTGTTCATTATCAAACACAAAAAGTCGCGATAACGTATCCGGCACTACATGCAACTTCCCCGGTTTATGTTTTACCGTGCAATCGAAGGACTGCAGTGCGATTGCCCATATGGTGAGCATATTTGACGTGTTCGCATAAAGATATCGCAATGCCGCATGATCAGTCACACACGCCAAATGTCTACCCCAGAAATAAGGACGCCAGTGTTGAATTGCTAGAACAACAGCATGACATTCTTTCATGGTGGCAGAGTAGAGTTGTTGGCTTTTGTTGAATCGCTGGCTAAAGCATGCTACGATATTCACGTCATCGCCATTCTCTTGTGCCAGGAATGCTCCTGCTCCCACTTCAGATGCGTCTACGTGGATGACAAAATTCTTAAGAGAAGTCCGGAAAATGTGAAACGGGAGCATTTGTGAGTAATCGTTTCACTTCGGCAAATGCCGCATCATCTTTCGGACCCCTTCGCTTCGCTACCGACTTCACTGCGTCTTTCTTGGTAAGGTCGACAATTGGTGCGGTGACGGCGTCTAAGTCTGGGATATAATTCCTGACATAGTTGACCGTTCCTAGGACTGATCGCAAACTTTTGATGTTTGCTGACGTTGGCAAATCTAGTATCGATTTTATCCGATCTTCACCTAAACGTATGCCATCTGCGGAAGAATATGCCACAAATACTTCACTTCCTTTGGCCGCAATTGCACCGTTGATGGTTTTAATGTCAGACCTGCGGCTTGTAGCGCGTGAAAGATATTTTCCAAAAGAAAATATGACCCTCCCATGTCGATGAACAACAAACAAGATCATCCATGTACACGAGAAGACCAGATTTTGGACCAAAATGTGCGANCTGACGTTGGCAAATCTAGTATCGATTTTATCCGATCTTCACCTAAACGTATGCCATCTGCGGAAGAATATGCCACAAATACTTCACTTCCTTTGGCCGCAATTGCACCGTTGATGGTTTTAATGTCAGACCTGCGGCTTGTAGCGCGTGAAAGATATTTTCCAAAAGAAAATATGACCCTCCCATGTCGATGAACAACAAACAAGATCATCCATGTACACGAGAAGACCAGATTTTGGACCAAAATGTGCGAATGTCAATGCCATCGTACGTTGAAACAGGAAAGGCGCATTGGCGATGCCAGAGGGGAGTCGTTTAAAAACCCATTTAACAACATATTCGCCTGATTGAGAGCGTAGCATCTGATTGAGAGCGAGATTGCGCGATACGCTGTAGCCGGACTACCACTGAGAGGTGGAGCTTGCTGTGTAGCTTGAATTGAAGGGCTAGCCCGTAGCTTCAAGCCGCTACCCTGGTCATCCTGTGGGAGTCTCTNGTAACGAATGCAGTCTTGTCTTGTTCTGCTTCGGCAATTGGTATTTGGTCGTATGCACTTTGTACGTCGCAGACTGTGATGTATTTAGCACCTGCTACTGTGTCAATGTGACTTGCCATTTCAGACATTGGCCACGATTTACGAGTTAAATTCTTGTTGATCGTCGCTCTGTAATCTACACAGAATCGGAGACTGCTGTCAGCTTTTGCTACCAACGTTACTGCTGACCCCCATGGGCTCGCTCTTTNCGTATGCACTTTGTACGTCGCAGACTGTGATGTATTTAGCACCTGCTACTGTGTCAATGTGACTTGCCATTTCAGACATTGGCCACGATTTACGAGTNCCTTCCGAGTAACGAATGCAGTCTTGTCTTGTTCTGCTTCGGCAATTGGTATTTGGTCGTATGCACTTTGTACGTCGCAGACTGTGATGTATTTAGCACCTGCTACTGTGTCAATGTGACTTGCCATTTCAGACATTGGCCACGATTTACGAGTTAAATTCTTGTTGATCGTCGCTCTGTAATCTACACAGAATCGGAGACTGCTGTCAGCTTTTGCTACCAACGTTACTGCTGACCCCCATGGGCTCGCTCTTTGTTCGATTATCCCAGCTTCTTCCATTTCACCAACACATTTGTCAATAACCTCTTGCATTCGTGGATTTGCACGATATGGAGCTCTGTTGACTGGTTTTGTTCCTGGTTGTAATGGAAAATCAGCCTCTGTGAGAGTACATTTGCCCAGTTCTTTAGAGCTGAGGGAGAATACTGAACGGTATTTGGTGTATCCCTGGCAGTGGCCACTGTGTAGTAATAGTGTGCAGAGGCTCACAGAGTGACTGTAAAGTATACTTGTGTTGTAGGCCACATGATATGGTTGTGTTGGCGCTGGCCGAAAGTAGAGAAGAGAGAAAGGATAAGAAGAAAGAGAGAGAAGTGAGCGAGTGGGGGCGACCACCACGGGGGCGAGCCATCCACCGTCATCACGGAGAGGAAACACCCACGGGCTATTGCAACGTACCGATCACGGTAATAGACGGCCAGTCCGACGTTTGACAACGTTACTAGAATATCCTATAGGACAACAGTCCGATGTACCATACTTTCTATGGTTCAATGTGTAGCCCGTAGGTGTGTACAATGATCCGATTACTGAGTCAACATACCGAAGACTATTCCGGTGGTACTCCTTAGGTGACAGCAGTGCAAATCCGAATGACCAACATTGAATATTCCAACATTTGGTGCACAGTTTGGTATTTCTTCATACTGGTCAAGCGAAACAGTTGTATCGCTGAAAGCTTTGGCTGATGCCTTCTTGAGATCTGTACGGATTTTTTCCGTTTTGTCAGGGCTCTATTGAACGCTGCTCATTGTTTGTGGCAGTACTGTTTTCACCGGAGAGATATAGCCTAGAGGTGTATTTCTCTTCAGGGATACCGGTCTGTGAGAAGGGTTGGCCAGTTGCACCATTGCACCTTTGTTGTGCTCATACCAGTGACAGACTGTGCGTGCTAGTATCACCCTGCGGAATGCATCTGGTATATCCTGATTACCAACGTCATCGGACGTTACGATGCGTGGTCCAACTACGGCACTGTGGTTTCATCTGGCGCATCAAGCGAATGAATTTCGACAGCTGTTTCATGTTGTGCAGGAATGCTGCATTTCCGTGTAGCCTATACAGGCACTACACGTGTGTCCCTCTCTACTGGTATCACAGAACAGTTCATATTGTTTTCCTGATCGGTCGCGGAGTAGGGAGTTTTGCGGTGAACTGCTGGAATTTTGGTTGTTGTTTTAAACGACAGTTCTTCCGCTTGCCAATCAAGAACACCACCAAGTCGAGTAGCATAAGATCAGGTCCCAAAGACGGCAGCACTAGGGCTTCAACAGGTAATGCGGTTTCTCCTACTGTCAGTTCAAATCGAGTGTACCCTGCAATTTTGAGGGGCGAACCATCGGCGCTGCGCAGATTGATTGCTCCAGGGGGCACTGGAAATATTTCCGTGTTTTGCAACGTGTTGTGACTTCTCATGAACTTCCGTGAAATGCATGGTATGTCATACGCCGTGTCGATTGTTGTTTCGTCAACCAATTCATTGTTGATTCTGGCGGGCACACGTACTCGCTTGGATGTCGATCGCAAAACCGATGGACACACGGGACATCCAGCGAGTGCAGACATGTAAAAAGCATGAAATTCTTCATTACGGTTATTTCTCATTAGGTTGGACCTATGTTTCGACCTGAAGTCCCCAGCTACGGTAGCTACGTGCAAGGCTTGCGGCGCTAAGCAGGCGGCTACTTGTCTTACTTGGGTGCTATCCCCTAGTGATGGATCTACAGCGGCTACTGCATCAGTTGTGCGGGTACTTGACTTCGGGACTCCTCGTGTTTGCTTGCTGCTACAACCTTCGCGAGAATGTTCTCGTGGTACATGTACTTCAAATGTCTTGCCACAGCGCTGCTCTTTGGCTTTTCTTGTTATTTCCACCAGAGATCGTACACCATTTTGACATTGCTTTGAATCTTTCTCATCTACTCTGGCTCTCTTCTGCTTGCTCGTGCTTTGAGGTCTATCCAAGTTAATACATACTGGTTTGACAGAACCAAATGATCGGTGTCCCACGTTGGCCGAGGGATGCTGCCTAGTCGGGCGACCTTAGTTTTTTGCTACTTTGTACCCCTCATTTTTGGCGACTTCTTCATTATTGCACTCCGCACGGGTGTGCGTAAAGCTTACGTTACTGAATTGGCAACCAATAAAGTCACATTCCTTCCTAGGTTTGGCGGTGTCGGACCTGGCAGTACCAGCGAACGATACTTTCGCCTTCGTCCGCGCGGGAGGGCCCCGGGATTTGGAATTATCCTTATCACGTTTGTCAGACCCCCGCTGAGCACGTCCACCGCGTTGCGCGCCGTATGCTCCACCATTGGACACGTACGCCTCCTGCCCTGAAATCTAATTTTTAATGGCAGTGATGCGGTCCTTGTTGTCGTCCGCAGTACTTTGGAGCTCCCCGGGGCGAACAGAACCGTATACGGTAGAGGCGGTAGCCGAGGTGGGGGCAGGGGGCGAGTGCAGTTTTTTGGACTCGTGTCTACGAGCACGTGCTTTAGACTCCATGAAAGAATCGGATGGATCTGCCTGCATCATCTCTACGCGAATGTGGGGGTGTACACCGTTTTCAAAAGATGCAGTGAGAGCTTGGTTGAAAGCGTGTTCATGAGGTGGTACATTCAGCGGAGCCGTGCGTTCAGCTTCGGCTAGAAGTCTGGCATACGCGCGTGATACTCTGAGCGCAAACACGTCAACTGATTCGCTAGTCTTCGCTTCTAATGTCATGACATCACGTGCAAGAAGAGCAATTCGGTTGGCGGGAGCGAACGGTGTGGTGAATGCCGTGACCCATGCCTTCCATGTTTTCGGAGGTGTGATTCGGACCACTTCACCACGTGCACGCAACGCATTTATCTGAGCTGGCGGTCGCCATTCGAGAGATGAGCTAAGCATGAGGCTGAGGCTTTGAGCTGCTGCACCTCGCACGAAGAGCGCGAGATGTTTCATTGCGCGATGATCGATTGTGCTTTGAGAGACGTTGTCGGCAGACAAAAAACCGATGTGTGCGCTGTAACGCGCCATTTTTCCCGGAACATCTTCGTGAGGCAGACACTCGAGCTTGAGATCAGGAGGTAGGCCAGTAGCTTTCAAAGTGAATCGCGCCGTACAAATCACGTCCTGGTTTACCGTGGGCTGGGGTACCGGGGTAGGGTTGTCCTGGTTTACTGTTTGCTGGTTTACCTGGTTCGGTGAGGCATGGTTTACCGTGTTATGGTGTACCGGGTTAGTAGGTGAAATTGTCGGTGTAGACATATTCCTAGCAGGGGTCTGTTGAACACTTGCTGTCGTGTGCATACCAGAGCGATTTTCTGCTTCTAGATCGGGGGCAAGCGAACGCGGATTCACCTTCTGGATGTCTTGCTGGTGAGCGGCTCCCGGCATAAGCATGCTAAGAACCCATGCCGGCGGGTCCTTCTCCGCCTCCACTGCCTTGGTGACCGTTCCGACGAGGACAGCCTCCAGCGGCCCGCCGCTTGCCAAGAGCGATGCACTCTGCTGACTGGCGGCGTCGGCGCGGTTTTGCAGGATGTCTCGTGCAAGGTGGTCGTCGTTGTCATCGTCGTCGTCAGGGAGTGGTTCGGTGTCGAGGGTTTGGGTGCTACCGGCCTTGGCGCCGTCGCCAACGCTGCTGCTGTTGTTGTCGCTATCACGACCGTCACCGACCAGGGCGTGGAAATACCCGCGATGGTGACTGCTCTGCGAGGGTGCTACGCTCGCAACCGCACCGGCCGGTTCCCCAGCTTGGGCAGGCTTCGGCTGTCCCTCTTGGGGCTTAGCCAGGCCGTGATTGGTAGTGGCAGCAGCGCCGGGACGCGGCGTTGCTGGCGGTTTGGGCGTCAGCTGCTTTTGCTTTTTCTGCTGTTGCTGCTGTTGTTGCGACCCTCCGTCCTTTTTCTTCCCTTGCTTCCTTGGATTGGAGTCCATGTTTCACACGTGGGTTGTAAAGATCAAACGCTTCGTCGAACGCCAGTATGGAGCTCTCTACTCTGCGATGAGCGGAGAGTCCGGGGTTGTGGTGGCTATGTCCTGCCACCGGAGGTTGGCTATTTCCTTCGGTACAAAGTGGCGAGGAATGCCAAGCGTGACCGAGCGAACTCAGTCAAGCTAGGGTGNTCCATGTTTCACACGTGGGTTGTAAAGATCAAACGCTTCGTCGAACGCCAGTATGGAGCTCTCTACTCTGCGATGAGCGGAGAGTCCGGGGTTGTGGTGGCTATGTCCTGCCACCGGAGGTTGGCTATTTCCTTCGGTACAAAGTGGCGAGGAATGCCAAGCGTGACCGAGCGAACTCAGTCAAGCTAGGGTGGTGCGGAGAGTGGGCGAGCCTTTGTAGACCCATTTTCCCATTCTCCTAAAGATTCATCAACTCTTCGCAGCCGTGGCGAATCACAAGAGTTGTGGACCCTCGGAGAACGGTAATCTATATCACATATTCCCTCAGATCCTTCTCTTAATGTACGTGTATCTGTGCTCCCTGAATCTCCATATCCTGACCTCCACACCACGTATAAAAGGGTGTGAGTGATAGCACGCGGATATTGTCGCCGCCCGTTCGGAAGAACCAACCTCTCAGCGAAAAGGAAGGAAAAGGCGTTTTGTTCCTGAGGCTGTGCGCGCGGATGTGATTTGACTTCACAATGCTACATATTTCTGTGAAGGGCATCATGCGTATTCGGTGGACTGGAGTTGCTGTTGGCGGGAACTGCACATAGGTTGTCGATAAATTTTGAAACTCATGCGGAGGCTACGATCGGTCTCGCCAAAGACTCGTGTCATGGCGATGACGGCTAATTGCGAACGTGGAAGATCTGCATGACTCCACAGAACATGTCAGGAGTTCTTCAACCTCAACCAATGATCGAGTCCAGAAAAGGAAGGTATGAGTCTATGGGTCTCACGATCAGTATGTAGGTGGAATGGTTCTTACCGCAATGCGCGCAAAATAGAAATATCACGATGATGCACCTTCACTTCTATTCACGAGCCAGCACCCGCTACTATGCCACCGCCTGTGGTGCATTGTGTCATGGCCCGGACATGACCAAGCCTCATGTTCAAGTCAAATTCTGGTCACTCAGCATCATTCGTTTACATTCAAACTAACACACAAACCGGGGTAGAGACCAGCTGGTAGAGACAGAAACCATTCCCGTGTCTGCTAGTCTTACCTGCGTGCAATAATTGACGTTTCTGTATCGGTACGTGCTTAAAACCGTTGGACCAACTATTAGTCCAACGGTTGTAAGCACGTACCGATACAGAAACGTCACATCTTACAGCAAACGCCGGTCAGTGGCTTAGACGAGAGCGGCTTTAATAACCACATCTGTTGCATGATTAACACCCGATGGACTCTGCCATGCTTGGAGCAATTTTTTTCTGGTAGCGCCTGGAAAAAACGAAAAGGAAACAGAGAAAGTTCCAGGCCTTCTACCTTTCTTTCGCGGCTTTCTCTCTGCGAAGTTGTTGATATCTCGACCATCACGCCGTCGATTCACAAGCGGATTTCTGCAGTAGATGGGCAGAAAGCAGGAGGATAGCTTTCGAGCTGTCTTTAACTTGGATAACTGTCCCTTTGTCCCCTGTCGATGCTGTATTTGTGGCAATGCCCAAAAAGTCAGCACCTACAGCAGGAGCATCAAGAATCATCTGCCGTCATGTAGAGCTATCCATGCATATCAGCAAGTACACCGCCCCTCGCAAAAGTAAGGAAGGTCAGCAGTAGTCAAGGGTAACAGAAACAGCGGTGATTGTAGCAGCAAGTATGCAGGGTGAGGCGGTGCAACCATGAGATCGTTGAGATCCGCGCTTGCTGTGTGGTGTAACGATACGATGTCGTCGCCGCCCGTCCATAACTCCCAACGGCGTAAAAGAGCGTCTGGCTCTCGCGTTCACCCTGCGCAGTCATGCCGCACCACTCAAGCATAAACAATAACAGGAGGAAGAATAGTAGAGTACGAGTCGGGCTGTAGTCTACAGATGTTATGCGTGCAATGAGATGAAGATCCCTTGCCGTCCTGCTGCGGTAACATGTCCGCGAAATCCCAATGAACGGCAAAGAGAAAGCGCAACTCTTTCTATCTACGCAGCAGTCCTACCGGCCACACCAACACGAACCACCACCAACAGCAGGGATGTATCAATGTACAATAGTGCTACTGCACCAGTATGCTAGCCTCTCTCCTTGCTGTGCGTTGGGTTGGCGTCTGGTGATCATGAACAACGGCTTAGGCCAGATCCCCAATTCTTCGCCAGTCCAAAATGAGAGAAAAACCACGGCGTCATTAGCGAGTCGTTGCTGGCTGATGAAAGCCGTCGGGTGACACAGACGACAGGGCGACAGAAGGCAGGCAGTAGACAGGGAGCGAATCAGCGATCGGCGGTGCTATTATATACTTCCTCCGATTCTAAATATAAGGGCGGTTTGGACAAAAAGCGGTCTAACTCTCTAACTCGGGCCTGCAGAACCTGCAGAACTCTTTTCTCTTTTCCCGAACCGTTTTTGTTGTTGGTTCCACCGCACTGCTGCGCAGCGCGCAGAACCGGGGTCTTTCTGAACACACACCAGCAAGGTGCAGCCCACAGCAGCAGACCTCGCCCGATCTCACCACCCCAACTTTGTAGCTCCGGTCAAACACCTTCCCAACTGCTGTTGAGCCATGTCCGCTGCTGGGAGTGCCTCTCAAGGGACGAGACGCAAGAATTTCAACGTTTTGGAGAGAGAAGAGGTGATTCGCCACCTTCTCGCCAACAGCGAAGACGGGGTACTGCGGCACGGCAGATTTCCGCCATTTTCCCGATCNATAATTAGGAGAAACAAATATACACACAGAAAGACTAAATTTTGTTCAGATGCTTTCGAATAGTTGGATTAAGTACATACATGCCCCCGCCTGGCATCAGGGGGGGGG